AATATACATATCATGTCGACATGGCGAGATAGATTATCTTGACAAGTCGACATACTAAAAATGTTTTGTTGTTATGACAAGATAGGTTATCTTGACAAGTCGACATAATAAAAGTCGACATACTAAAAATGTTTTGTTGTCATGGTGAGATAAATTATCTTGACAAGTCGACATTGTAAAAATGGTATGTCGTCATGGCGAGATGATTATCTTGACAAGTCAACATAATCCATATTGTATGTTGTCATGGCGAGATAGATTATCTTGACAAGTCGACATAACATAAGTTGTATGTTGTCATGGCATTTTTTTTCTCTTGTGGGCCTCAAATGGGATTACCTATAGGCCTAGGATCATACGCCCATATTTAAAAAAAATATATTTCCCACATGCTTTGGCCCATATTTTTTCATATATTATTTCTTCTAATTTGCCCACAGGGGCTGACCAACAAAGAACCCTTATGAATGTTCCCATGTCTTGCCATCAAGGGCCCCAAATGTGTTAAACTATCTGGGCCTGCCCATATTAAAAATTATATATCCCAAATGTTTTGGCCCTGATATCGCCCATATATTATAACCCCTTACATTGCCCATATGGGCTGAACTATGAATAGCCCAAATTGGTTCATCAATTTTTTTTTCTATTGTGGGCCCCAAATAGGATTACCTATATGGGCATGCCCATATTTAAAAAATATATTTCCCACATGCTTTTGCCCATATTTATCCCATATATGATTTTCCATAATCTGCCCACAAAGGCTGACCCACAAAGAGCCCTTATGAAGGGCCCCAAACATGCTAAACCACCTTGGCCTGCCCGTATTTTAAAAATATGTATCCAAGATGGTTTGGCCCTTATAGTGCCAGTATGTGATTGCCCATCCTTCATCCACATGGGCTGTCCCAGAAATAGCCCTTATGGGTCTGCCCAGTTTTTTTCTTTTGTTGTCCTCAAACGCTTACTCATATGGGCATGCCCGCACTTTAAATAACGTTCCCAAATATGTTAGCCCACATAGTACCCATTAGGTACGTTTATGCCCATATTTCCCCTTGTGGGCTCCAAATGCGCAGATTTACTATGGACTGCCCTTTTCTTTCCCTCATGGGTGCCAAATGCCTTGTTCCACATGTTAGCCATATTGGTTTCTCGATCTTTCACTCTTACGGGACCTTTAGAATTAAATTCAATACAGTGTAGCCCATACAGGCCCCCATAAGGGTTATGAGTGGTATGGGCCTGCCCACATGGGCCAGATATATTATATAAGGGCCCCACAAACTTTGCTACCTGGGCTATATCTATCTCTTATAATTTCTATTAGAAACAGAAGCAGTACATTTGTATGACGAGTGTACCTGCTAGGCACATACTATTTCTACCGACGTCAAGATAATACGCACATGCAATGCTACTATCTATCCATCTATCATTTCTTATAGCCTGGGGCCAGCATCAACCAAACAACTATCAATCAGTTTCTCAAGGTGACAGTTACAATGCAGACTGTGCTAAATGTGGCTGTGGTGCAAATTCCCGGTGGTGGGATAACAACTGCGAATTTGATTTTCGTTCGTATATCTGTGAAAAAGGTATGCTATTGAGAAAATGTTGTGTCGCCACTGCTATGAGCTTAACAAAGTAATATCTGCTTTAAATCACAGTAAAGTATTTTTATATATAAATGGCATATAAAAAGACTGGTTTTTTTTTTGTTGCCATTTAAAACAACAGGTGTCTGAAACTGACTCTGTCACAGATCGGACTAGAGTCATCGTTGTAGTCGTTTGTCAAAAACTCAAGAGAATGATAAAAACAACTACGATCTGCTGGTTACATTTCCATTTACTTAATATTCCACACCAGCATGTTTAACAATTTAACAAGTAATAATAATAACAACAATAATTACAATAACAATAAAAACATTTAATAACAATAATAACAATAACAATAACAATAATAACAAAAATAACAATAATAACAAAAATAACAATAATAAAAAAGACACTACTTATATAAATTTTTTAGAGTGTCCAGGAGTCAGAAATTAAGTCCTCTGCGTTTTCCCGCTCACACAGAAACAAAAGACAATAGCGTAATCCACACAGGTTAGTTAAGTTTGCTGGTTCACACATCACAGTAATCAACCGGTCCACACAGGACAAATAACAGGCAGTCCACACCGCACGGTATTCCGCTGGTCCACACGGCACAAATAACCATACAGTCCACCCACAACAGTAATCAGATGATCCACACAGGATACACTATTTTGCTGATCCACACAAGACAAAGTTCTGCTGTTCCACACAGGACAATATTCTGCTGGTCCACACAGGATATTCAGAGGATCCACTCAGGATACAGTGATCGATTAGTCCACACAGGACAATAATTTACTAGTCCACACAGGATACAGTAATCCATAATTCACCTATCTCAGCAGAGCACACATAAGATTGCATACCAAGCCCCTCTCTTTTAGGAGAGGCTTCACAAATAGCACATAAACACCTCACTTTATATTGACTTCAAAGATTGCATACCAAGCCTTCCTCTTTTAGGAGAGGCTTCACAAGTAGCACATAAAAAAACCATACTAAAAATAGGCTTAACAAAACTGGTGTGTGTGACCTCCACCATGCCTCGAGACTCTCTGCCTCATTACATTTCTCTTTGACTCGCACTCTCAATCTCTCATTTGCATAACCAGGTGAAATACCTTAATTTGCATTGAGTTTAACAAGTGTGAAACTAACCTAACAATAAATTCATTCACATTGTGACAATATCCCCCGCTTAAAATTATAATTATAAAAAGTAAAAGTATAATCAATTTTTTTCCATTTTTATGCATTTTATAATATTAATAATTAAATTCATATTCAAGGGGAAACTTCACCATTTACCCAATTTTGTATTTTTGAACCAGGTTTTGCCGATCTCTTCTTATCTCTAATAATTACTGCTTCAGGGAATTTTGTAACAAGATTAATAGTGAAACTCATTAGATGTGAAAAGTTCTTAAGAAGACTAGCACAATTAAATCAAAAACTATGTTGTAACTTCTAACATAAGTCATTGATTTTTAAAATTCAAAAGCATATCTATTAAGATAAACCTGGTTCACCAACCCGCCTAAATGCCCTTTTAAATGGTTTTCTGGTAAATGGAATAGTAACAGCATGTTATAACTACTCTTTAAAAAAACCCGCCATGTTTCAATACGTTTTAGCATTCTCAGTTCATCCAGCATATCTAGACCTATAAATTTGTGACAAAGAAATACATTTTAAATATTATGAACAATTAAATCCGATTTTTTTAATCTTTTTTTTTAAACCATCTTCATTTTAATTATTCAAAATACATCTAAATTCATCATTCACCAAAACATACAAATAACTATTTTACATCTCAAATTTTCCTATCTAATTCACGTAAAAAGCCTTATTTACTTTCATTATAAAATCCAGTTTTCAAAACTCCATATTAACATTCATTCAACACATCCAACTTTCATAAGCTTATAAAGTGCATCGACATTCTCATTCATTCATTAAACATTCTCGTTCAATCACCGAGTAAGCACGTTCACGTTGGGGAAGTTTTCTAATTGCAAAGCATATGGGATGCTTTAGACCCTCCCGCTCTTGCATTAAAACTGCTCCAATACCAATATCCGACGCGTCTACTGCTAAAATATACGGTTCGGATGGTTCTGGCAACATCAAAATCGGTTTCGATTCCAACCTAGATTTTAATGTCCTAAATGCATTTTCTTGAGCATCACCCAAAACTAATTTTGTGGGTACACCCTTTCGCGTTAAATCAGTTAACGGCACTGCTATCTCCGCGAAATTAGGCACGAACTCTCAATAGACCTTACCTCCTTTTTAGTATTTGGAGCCGACGTGTTCCAAATTGTATCTACCTTCTCCTGTCTAGGCC